CACTTTTCTAACTCTCTGCAGCCATAGATTTCTCTAAATAGTTGCCCAAGTGTATGGAAAATACAGTAACTGATAGCAGAGCAGTTTCTAGGTTGTTATTTTTTTCATTTATAATTCAATTAGCGAAGAACAGAGAGAAGAACATTTAATGTGGGCGACGGTGGCACAGGAGTTAAATGCTCGCCCCGTAATCGGAAGGTTGCAGGTTCGAGCCCCGCTCAGTCTGTCGCTGTCGTTGTGTCCTTGGGCAAGACACTTAACCTACGTTGCCTGCTGGTGGTGGTTGGAGGGACCGGTGGCGCCTGTGCTCAGCAGCCTCGCCTCTGTCTGTGCGCCCCAGGGCAGCTGTGGCTACATCGTAGCTCATCCCCACCAGTGTGTGAATGTGTGTGTGAATGGGTGAATGACTGATTGTGTTGTAAAGCGCCTTGCAGGACTCTAGAAGTCGCTATATCAAATACAGGCCATTTGCCATTTACCATTTACAAAGTTAGCTCTAGAAAGCCAGCTGAACATCCAGGAGCAACGCTCCCATGGAAGTCACGAAGAAAAACAAACAATAACAAAATCACCAGACTACAATGAGGTCTTCTTGAGTTGCACTGAAGCATCTGCAGCTCTGAGATCGTGGTTTCTAGGAGACGATTGGAGATGTTATGATTATAGGGATCAACTGCAAACTAAACTTTTAGGATGCAATGATCAAAAGTTAATTTTGAGAACAAAATTTGATAAGTTTTATGAAAGAAAACCTCACTGCCTATCACAAACTGATTGACCGGTGGATTAAATGCTCTTTGAGTTTTCCAAGCTAAAAGCTGGGATTTGGGGCGCAAAGCTTGAGCTAACTTGAATAAGAATTTTCAAAAGAAAATAGTTTAAAGTTAAAAGTTTTGGTACAATTATCCATCTATAGGGGAAAAGAGAAGCCAGTTGCGGTAGCTAGTTAGGATTCCTCCTGGACCCCCGGTGAGGTTTTCTAGACATGTCTAACCGGGAGAGGACCCCTATGTCTCTCAGCTGGCCAGGGAATGCCTAAAGATTCCCCCGGAGGAGCGGCCCAAGTGGCTGATGAGAGGTAAGGCTGGGCCTTTCTACATAAGCTACTGCCCCCACAACCCAACCCTGGATAAGTGTCTGAAAATGTATGTATGGATGGATTGGAGCAGACTGGAGGGGAAAAGACATTTCTGCAATTCTCAAAACTGAAAATCTTTTCACAAACTGTATGAGATTTTGTTCTGTGTTAAATTTTTTCCTACTGCATCAGTCTCACAAGTTAAAGTTGTAATAAAATTAGATTTAGAATGTTTTATTTTCTGCACTTTGACTAAGCATAGAGTTCACAGGAGGCCAAACTGAACAAAGGAAATTAAACACTTGCTCAGCTTTGTCTGAATTTTATAGTTTTACTTTTGACTTTATCCTAAAACAAACTTCTAATTAAAAAAGATTCCCTGAACTTTGCAGGAGGCTTTCAAAACAAGAGGATTCATTTTAATTTTTTAATTAGAATTGTGTGCAGAATGGTTGCAATCCAAAGTTAAGAGTTAAATGTGTAAAACTAAAACATTGGAAACCATTGAAAGTGTTTATGTTTACTAATTAATTATAAACACTTGAACACGTAAACTGATTACTTGTGACAAACTAATAAACACCTAACAAATACAACGGATTTACCTGTTTTTATTTCCTTGGGTGAACGCAACTAAATTGCCGTGCAATTAAATTATTTTCCAACTGCTCAAGTTTAGCTCAATTTCAAGGCCAAACACTGAGCCTATTCGGCAGCTGCTTAATTGTAAACGTCAAATCTACTTTTAGAAAATTTGATTGAAACCTAATTTTCTGATATTTCATAATATAAATTGATCTTTATCAAGCACATGTCTTAAAAATAGACAAAAAGGCCTCGTTTAAACTCATAACAGAAACAAAACTATTTAACCAACTTCTATAATTCTAACTCTTGTTTTTTATATAAAGGATATGCTATTTAACGTGGGGTAGGAGATGCATTTCTGGGGATTTGTTTTGCCACATTGCTTGAAATACACTTGACATACTGATGATAACCAACAATCTGAATGTTTTGTCAAGAAAAAAAAGTGTAATCGTCTCTGAAATGTACAATCATGGAAAAACCATCCGCCCTGTTCTAAATGGTGATCCATCCATCAAACAGCTCTCTGCCCACACCCGTCTATGCGTACGAAGCATGGAGAAGCTGAACAGGAAGTGAAGCCAGGGCTGGGTTAGCTTTATTAGCTAGCATGATCAATTATTATACGGTCATTTAAGTGTGTAATATTCAGAATTATGGCAGAAAAGGTGCCAACAATGGGTCAAAAGCATAAGCTAACCATGTTTTATGTTTATTTTGAAGTTTCCGTTGCATTCAGCATTCTCCCGTATTCTACAGAGAGGAGACTGAAAAAAGGAGGTTGGACCTTTGAAATGTGCATTTTATAAATGTAGCTTGCTGGAACATATTTTCAAGAACTCCTACTTTTAACACCAAAAATGTACTTTGTTCCAAGCCTCTGTTAAAGTGACAGTGTGTATTTTCCCTGGTGATAGAGGGCAGTGCATACCTAAATCATTGCGAGGAAGCTGTATTTTGTGTTTGAGTGAGACCTTACCACTGTGTGGTCATTAGAGTCAACAATCCCTGGGAGCACAGTTTTGGAACGACTAATTCGTCCGATCGTTCAACCTCCAGCAAAATGACAAGCACATCAGACTCCCTTTCATCACTTGCAAGAGCGAAGAGGTGAATGTGATAAAAAACAACATTGACAAAAGTTTTGTTACAAATCAGTAAATGCACTTTTTCCCTCACGGGCTCCCGTAGAAGGAAGCATTGCATCTAATATGACGTCATTCAGAGACTTAGACCCTGTCCCGTGTATTTAGCTGCCAATCTTTTTCTAAAGACTGGGCATCATTTAGTTCATTTTCAACAAGATGTTGATAGAAATTTTCAGAAACAATGATAAACACTACACATTACATCTTTAAATTTGAGAGGGAGTTATCAAAATGTCCTTAATGAGAGTTCTAAGAGTTATCGTCGTGTGTCCAAGGCCTTGCCTTTAGGTTGCTGAAATTTTGACCATATTCAAAAAATATCTTCACAAAAATCACAGAAACCTTGAGGGGAAACCCTTCTCAGTTTAGTTTATCAGAGTCAGAAAATGCAAGTAGGCAAGATAGTTCTGAGAGGTGCTAGCAAATAAACAGACTGGAACAAAAGTAAATTCTTAAACTGAGAAAGATTTAGAACACTTTGGTGTTAAATTATAGCATCGATTTTCACAAAGAGGCAGAACTTTAGCAACCTGTTTGCAATTTACACCAGACGCCTTAAATGAGCCAGCCGCACAGAAAACCTAATAAAGCAACAATTCAGTTTAACTCCAACTGAAAATTCACACACCTTCTTGTCATTTCACATCTGTAACTAGCTGTTACTAGACATATTAAACTGTAATAAAACAGAAGTTGCAACTGAAGATTATGCATTCCTTGTAAGTGAACATACGTTCAAACTCACAATGAGCAATCTTTGCATTTCGACTCACATCAACCACTGGAACACAAAATGTCAGTTATATCAGGATTTTACACCATCATATATATATATATATATATATATATATATATATATATATATATATATATATATATATATATACACACACACACATAAGATATTGAGCTGTGCTTAATTGAAAGACAAGCGGATGGAAGTGATCAGAGCCCAGTGGGAGGTCTTTAAAACTCAGCATGACAATTAAGGAGCTAATAGTTTCTAATGCTGCAGTGTGTGACTATTGTAACCAGGTGCTTTATTTTGTCTTCATGGACATGCAGGAACTCTTTATTCCACATTTATGTCAAATCAAGACTTACCTTTATTTCAGCAGCTGCTTTTAAATGCAGACATACTGAGAGAACACTATGAGTCAAACTTACTTCTAATTATTTTTCAATTTGCATCCTTGTTTTGACCAATAAAACATTCTTTATTTGATTCTGTGTTAGCAGTGTAGCAGAGTGGTGTGTGTGGCTGTAATCAGGAGTTATTCTTGAAGCTCCTATGTATATATATATATATATATATATATATATATATATATATATATATATATATATATATATATATGTGTGTGTGTGTGTGCAGCCACATGATTGCATTCTTAGCAGAGAGCATATTCCCTCCACCTCTGTCAGTAGTAATCAGGTGGTCTGGTGTTCTAGCAGCCACTGTACATAAATGTGTGACAATTGCTACCTGATTTGATCTTGCAAGAGGCCAGGTTCACTCAGCTTATCCAGCAAATTACATTGCACATTGGGTGGTGGATAATTTCCATGCTGCAGCAGTTAGTCTTGTTTCTTCTACTGATTATATTGAATGTCAGCATCATTTTATTCCTACATCAGTGGGTACATACCCTTGAAAGCTGGGATACAACGTTTGCATTTTTAAAGATACTTGGAAAGGCTTCAATTGCATCATTTGACCCTGTTCTATAAAGTAGGTAATCTTTGATAACATTTGTCCTAAGTCTCTCCTTTGGCCTCCACAGAAAAAACAAATAATTTACACTAGCTTACAGCGTTGACCAATAGAGTTGCGTATTCTCATGAGGGAGCTGTTCCCCAGTTTCCAGAATGCACAGTAGAATGATGCATCAGCTAAGCACACCAAACTAGCTTGAATGCTAACTCGACCTGCATTGAATTAATGTCCAGTCCCCAGCTTTAAGACAAACACAATGCAGTCAATCAGCAATAGGCTGTAGATTTTATAGTTGATTAAAAAAAAATCAAAAAGCTGTCCCTGTAGTAAAAAAAAATAAAAATAAAAAATAAACATGCAAACAAAAATATTTTAAAAGGGGCCTTTTAGCATTCTGTACTAATAAGGTTGAATGTGTTTTGGTCCAGAAAATGAATTAAAGCAACACCTGTAGGTGTTTTCTTCCTACCTAGGGTCCTTTTGAATAGAGTCGATGGAAGGTGAACGCTGCAGACTTCCCTCTGGAGGCAGAGCTGGTCCAGACTTGCTGTAGGGAGATTCCACCACAGATGGACAGTACTGCAAGGTGCGGTAGGGATCCGCCACATACGGGTCAGATCCATAAACGTCGCCGCCCCCACCACCTCCACTGGAAGTGTATCCCGGCCCCACTGTGGCATAGTTATTGGTCCCACCACGGCTGTAGTTTCCTGTCCCAGTGCCATGGCTTCCTGTGCGCTGTAAAGGGGTGGAGTCGACACCAGGGGAGGAAGGTGCTAGGATAGGAAAGTAGGGACAGAGGACATAACTTAGGTCATGGACCTGGTTATGAACGTGCATGATCAGGTCTACAGAGGACAGTCAAGTATGGGAGAAAAGGACAGGAAGAAAGGGCGTAGAGGAATCGTAGACGGGCAAGAAAAAAATAACAAGTCAGTAAAAATACATCCAAATATGGACAAATAGAACATTTTTCAGAGAATTTTTTAACTAAACATGCTATTAAACTTAAAAAAATATATATTCCAATAACATTTCTTGATATTTCTTCAATTTATCAACAATTTAATGAAATGCCACTTCAGAATAGTCCAATGTTCTGGGTATTTATCCTGTTGGAGTCCCTGTGACCTGAGCCTGAGTCAAAGCTTTCTTACACCAGAATGCCATGATAGTCTGAAATGTCATTGAGACCTGAGGTACCCTTCCCAGATGCAGCAGAACAGGACCACCTCTGTGTTTTAGTGTTTTTGTTTGTTTCATTTTTGCTTCTTACATCATCAAGTTCATCTGACTTCCCAAAACGCGCCAGATCGCTTTTATTTTGGAAAATTAATGTCTGGCTTCCAACAGGGATAATGCTTCTCACCCCTCGTATTCTTTTTATCCAGATTGGCACCTTCGGAGGCAGATGGTGTAATCTACAATGCTCTTCCTTGAACTTGGAGAGAACCACTGATCTCTTTAGAAATAATTCAGGTTCATTTGGTTATCAGTCATCGTTCATTAGTCAAGAGTTTTCCTCTTGCTGCCAGGTCCACGGAGATGTTCCACAGTCCCGTGGACCTCAAAATAACAGTCCGTGCAATTGAAACATGCTTGACAACAACCAATATGGGCTGCTTGTTTGGCGATGTCTGCAGATATCATTTCCTACAGAGCAACAACCACACCACACAAGTCCCACTCAGCAGCCCTACTGGGTCTTTACTAAACATACCCCAGATCTGGGACCTGATTGGTTCCTGAAATGTCACAGAAATCGATCATTTCAAGCCAGCTTGCTGGAATAGTCTCATGCATGCTGCAAAGGTCTAGTAAATAACCTAGAAGTTTGGATAGTGGACAAATCAGACCTTTTTTATTCAGCTTTCAGTGGTCCGTGTTCAGCGTGGTACACACCTGATACAGAACAGCACCGTGACTACTCTCACTGTTTAAATAAGATGGATTAACTGACGGCAAGATAGAAAACACATCAAGTGTAAATTGCAGCACACACCTTAGTTTAACATGTCTCACGTAAAATTAGTTTCAATAGTTTATTTAGAGGTTTTATCATTTTAGTCTGGGCTTTTCCTATTACTCTGTTGTGCTTCATATGTTGATTTTTGATTCATGTTTTTCTATTTCAGCTGTTTCAGAGGCTATTATGGGTTTTTATTTTTAAATAGAAATACACTAACAACTTTATATATGTATGCAAATTAATGTAGAGATATTGCAGTTTATGCAGATCAAAACATAAAACAGACGATTCGCCACACAATGTGAAAAGCACTAAAGTTATTGTTTCATTGCCTGCTAAGTCATCAGCTGGTCACTAATGTGCTATAAAAATAACAACTTAGGCCAATATTCTGTTTGCGGAAAGTAAGGTAAACTATAAATACACATAAGCAAAAGGACGTTAGAACATTGCACTTTGGTTTTCTTGTGTTCTTTCTTAAATGTTAACAGGAGTTAGCTTGAGCAAGCACATCAGCTTTCCTCTTTTCTTCAATTGCAACGGACCAGTGATCTATTAGGACATTAATGAGAGTCCAGAGGGCCTCTCTGGTTGTAAAAGCAGGGAGACAGACTGTGTGAAAGGGGTACACCTCGTCCGTCATTAGCACCAAGTTATTTGCAGACTTAAGCACTCACATGTAAAAACCACAATAAACCTCTTCTTCAGGAAGTGAGCGATGCCTCACAGCCGTAACGATCAATACGTGGCCTTGTGATTAACACTGTAACAGACCAATGATTCACCGTCCACAAAGAGAATCTGCCTTTAAGGCATTCTTTTTGCACATGTGAATAAAATATGTTTTACTGAATCAACTGTAGGCTATTTCTATGCGTGTGATCCAAGGTTGAGCCTCTCATCCTTATGTGGCTGACAAACTTGCTCTTTAATGCTGTCTCAAGAGCTGGCATTTACTTGACCTTCACAACGTTCTTATCACACTCTTTTTCCACCCCGCTCTTTCTCTTACACACACTCACACACATCTGACCTGCCTCATCTATTTGATGCACGAGGACACCCCTCAAAGACCATCCCCTAACAGTTACCTCCCAATGCTCATATTGGAATTCTCATTATTTCCCTGACAAGAAACCTTTTATAAATGATTAAAGAACAATAAATGGAATTAACACTGTGTCTAAAGGGGACATATAATGTAAAATTCACCTTTTGCATCATTTTTTGCTGCCATGTGGGTCTCTACTGCCTCTATAAATACTCCAAACATGAAAAAGAACCTAATGCAATTTTTGACTGTTTAGTGTTAGAAACGATGCACCTAAAACAAGTTGTTTAACCTATTTGTGATGTCACAAATGGGGAAATTAAAATATAACCATTTTTCACGTATAAGAGAGCTGCTGCTGGAGGTCGAACAGCCCTACTCTGAGCCCCTCCCAGAAATCAGAGCTTCTTGGCTTATAGCAGCCTGAGTGGGGGATGGGTGGGCGTGGCCACCTCCAGTTTGTTTTCTTAAAGTCACAGAGCCCTGGAATGGCTCATTCTGGAAGGTACTAAAACTGTCAAGAATAAAACTGCTGAAATAGCTTTTATTTAAGAGTGCAAATAACCTCATAAACATGTTTGGTATTGATCGAAGAACTGTTATAACTTAAGAAAAAGTTCATAATATGTTCAAATTAGTCTGTTGTAAATCACAAAGACAGATAAAAATGAAGGACAGAGGAGCAGTTCAAAGGAGAAGAAAAAAAAAACTCCCAACAGAGGGAAAAGGGAGAGGGGGTATGTGAAGGTAATGGAGCAGAGTTACTCCCATCAGAAGCAAATCGGTCTCCCCTATACTCTTTAAATAGTGTGAGTCTGTCCTTCTCAATGTCTCATTAGCAGCCAGAGCTTTAGGCTAACTCAACCAGATGCAGTGTGCACACACCGAGAGACATGGCACCCAAATTGGACAAACCCCCCAGCAAAATAAGGGGTTGAAGTAAAGCAAAGAAACCAAGAGAAGGATAGAACACCCGTAGAAAAAAAGTGCCCTGTCATTTCTTTTTTCTTTTCCACAGTAACTTGCGCTGTGACCAGTGAAAAGGAACATTTTTGGCTGCAGGCTCAAAATAGAAAGGGACAAACGAGAGAAAAGGAGAAAAGATGTGAAAATATAGATACAGACAGATAAACAGATAGATATATAGATCATTTAGTGTCTCTAGAGTGTCTATCCATCCATCTATTATTTAACAAATGTACTTTCTGATTAATTGGGGTATCTAGGAAAACGATCAGGCAAAAATGAGCTGCCATAATGATTTGGACAAGGAGGTGCTTGACAGAAAAGAAGACTTTAACAAGAAGACCAACTTTAAAAACGTATATATTTTTAGATAAATTTAATGTAATCATTCAAAAAAAGCTTTTGGCACTCATAACTCATGCTTACTTCCAAGCACCATCGGACAAAGGATCTAAAATCACTGAAGCAACAATCTCTAAAGCTCTCATTCACTTGTTATTTCAATACATTAGCAGTGATTTCTAGTATAAATTAATCATTTATGAGTCATTTTCTGTGGGGGAAAAAAAGCTCTGGCGCTCCTGTATCAGGTAGTAGAAATTAGTCAGAGGAGAGGGGGCAGAGAACAGCAGGATTTGAAGTCTTAGGTTTTATATTTAAATAACTCATAACTGATTGAATAACAGCAACACAACTCTTCCACTGCCTCCATTCACTCTGCAATAACGTTGATGTTTCATCTCCGCAAAAAACACGAGCCTAAAGATGTTGTTACAGCTGTTGCTGTTTGCCTCAGAAATCTGACACTGCAGAGGACAATCAGTGCTGCCTCCACCTCCTACCTGCACAGCTGCACTCACTTGGGCTGATCACCTCCTGAGCAGCATAAAAGGGAGAGCTGCCAGGAGGAAGGGAGAGACTGAATCTGTGCCAGTTCTCTCATGTGCTCCATTTGTTTGTGTTTTAATGGCTTTTAAATGGGTTTTTAGTTTTTTAAGCTTAGTGAAGCTTAAGAGCTTTTAGAGGTTTTTAACAGACGAGGGACCAGAGTGCTGGTTACCTCTTGGCTCCCAAACTTGTGTTTAAGTCAGTGGACTTTGTTTTGTGAATGTTTGGGAGCATTCGATGTCTGTTTTAAACGTAAACCCTTGGCCATTTTAACAATGTGTTTAAGTACTTTTAGATTTGGAGCTTTTTATCATTTTAAAATCCTTTTAATAAATCAATGTTTACAATTTCCACAACTGAAGCACATGCCTCTGTGTTACTCCCCGTCCTTCTCCATATCCACCAATAGAGGACGTAACAGATGTGTTGCCATGTTGTGGAGTCGCTAATGCTAATGGCTAGCTTCAACTAGTCGAGAGGTGCTCTGCTCTCTCCTGGATGCTAAAATCTCCGGTCACGAGCCAAGATGGGTGAGTCCATGAATACTAATTTACATGCGATGCTGATCTGACTGACTTTTCTAATTCAAGTATCTATTTACTATTGGCAGCTAAAACAGGAAGTAGGGGTAGTGGAGCATTTTAACGTTCTACTTGCATGTGAAACTCAGTGACAAATTCTATTTAAAACAAAAATACTATTTATTAGTGAACCTGCTCTTTAATAAAACAATCCTTGTGTCATTCTCATACTGTCTGTAGTGAAATTAGTGCAAATTTATCTGAAGGACTTCTATGTATATCTGCACACCAGCAGACACGTTTTACCAACATCTCTCACACCTGTTTTTAGGCAGTGTGAAATTCTGTTTGAGAATAAATATAAAAGGCCGGTCTGTCTTTGTTTTCCCTTGCTTCAGCACTGAGTAAACAAATCCTGGCCGTGCTTCTGCTGGCAGATTAGCGACAGAAAGG